CACACACACACACACACAGATACTTCCCTCTCGTAACCTTTCTGGTAACTGGACCGTAGAGATGGGGTGGAGGGTTGTGACAGAAATAAACACGTGATGACACCCCTACTGCTCTGCAGCTCACATACACATATAAACACTGTGAACCATTACACACTCCTGAGTTTTCCCTTGTCGCTCGCCGCCATCAAGGAGAATCCCCCGGTTTGTGGTTGGAGGGACATGGCAGGGCTGCTGTGTGGGACAAAGAGGAAGAAACAAGGTAACATGACTTTAATGGCTGAACTGTCAGTAACTTGTCCAGTAGAAACGAGGAAGCGGGATCTGTTACCTTAACGCAACCTTGGAGAAAATTCAGCCAAATCTTTTCTGAGCTGATGAAAGAGGTCAGCAGGGTTTACTGGGACATGTTTTAGTAAACTGGTTCTATTTAATATGCCTTTGTGTCCTGTAAAAATAGACACAGAGGCAGGAAGCAGCAGAGCTGTGATCTGTAATTACAGAACAAACTGCTGATCTGTTGTAAGATTAAAGGCTCAATGAGAAGACTAAATCTGATAACGAATCTTTAGGGATCTCTGGTTCAAGACTAATTCTGTTTATCCTGTTGACTCAAGCTTTCAAGGCCATCATTTTGTTCTGATTGTACCATAAAGTCATCTCCTTTCGTGAGTAGAGGTTTTTAAGCTTTCAGTGCAAAAATGAGATCTTGAAAGCCGTTTCCCTTGCCCCTCCTCTCAGATCTCATAAATAATCCAGTGAATGAATGAAATGACAGACTGAAGGGTATTGATTGTGGTTTAGTCTGTTGCAGGAAGGTAAAAGCATAACGGACATTAGGGGTAGAAAGCCTATATCGCTAGAGCTTCCCAGCAGTCAGCAGGGAAAACACGTCAGTAGGAAGGTCATCTGTCCAAATCAAGCCTTAAAGGGATAGTTCAGCTCTTTTGAAGTGGGATTCTGTGAAAAGTTTACCAATAATGAACATCTTACCTTTTGCAGATAACTCTTTGAATAAAATAGTTGGGAGAAATAGTTCAATTCTGGCTGAACTTATGAGCTAACAGTCCAAGAACAACCAAGTCTGTTATGTGATTTCGTCAATTAAAACATCTAAAAAACTAGATACCACATAGTGGTAACATACAGTATATGACCCCCGCACGCACCCAAAACACCAATGCACCAGAAGTCACCAGAGCAGATTTATTGTTTTAGGTGGGGATCTGGATGGGGTGGGGTGTGTGTACGTGTGTGTGTGTGTGGGGGGGGGGGCATCATTGGTGGGCTTGATGGATAGCTCTTCATCAGAGTTAAACAAAGAAAAATCTGAAGCTCATATGTTTAATAGTTTTTGAGTTACAAGCATTTTTGTATGTCCAGTCACCCCATTTTCAGATGGAGCCCCCTCCTCAAATTTGGGGTTTATTGTAAAACCATTGGGTGGCACAATGTAGGTGGGACATATCTGCATTCCTACCAAATTTCATGATGATCGGTGCAGCCGTTTCAGTGCTACAGTTGACCAAAGATCTCTGAAAAACAAAAAACAGTGCAAAAACAATATGACCCCCACTTCACATGTGGGGGTCATAATTATGTTGAGGTTCACGCAAACACTGTTTTATTATTTTACATTTGTAGTTTGTAGGCATCTGATGCCTCCTGAGTATGGAGAGCCGTTTTCAGCCAAAAGAAAATGAGTGAAATAAATTAAAAATTTGTTAAATAAATAACTTAGCTTTTTCATGAACCCAATTTTTAATTTATTTGTTTTTTATATTATCGATTTCTCAATTTCTCTTTTTCATTTATCCATTTTTCTTTTATCTATTTTTCATTTACCCATTTTTCATTAATCTCTTTATCTATTTACCCATTTTTCATTAATCTCTTTATCTAT